TTTTTTTGTTTGATATTATTTATTCGGGTGGCTCACTTGATTAATACTTAACATCATTCTATATCCTTCTATTATCACAGGTGTTGTCTGAWTATTTTATTTTGGTTTATCATGGCTGACACTGATCGCTTGAACCGTGACAAGCAACGCGCTTCTAGAAGGCGTGATGCGGCTGCTAGCCATATTGAGGCGATTTACTCTTTAGGTATCGCTGCGTCAACGGACAGTTCTAGTGTATCAAAGTTTCTTTTAGCTGCTGAAGATCTTCAGAGCTATTGGTCCAAGTTTACCCTTGAAAATGATTCACTATTGGAGGCTATGATTGAGTTGGGAACGGATGATGAATTTTCAAATAATGTAGAGTTGGAAGTTCATAGTACTTTCCTTGATGCTAAGGCTTTAGTGAATAAATTCAAATCCAGTTCGGATAGCCATATCTCAGTCAGTGAGGCTAGTAATAGTGATAAGGGTGATGCGGCAGTTATAGATGATAATGCTGGAGTATTAGTGAACCCAACAGCTCAGGTGGGTCCTGTTATTGCCAGCATGGAGTCTTCTGGTTCTAATGTTCAGTTGCCAAAGATTCCACTGCCTACTTTTGATGGTCGTCTTCAATCTTGGCCTGATTTTAGGGATAGGTTTTCCGTCTTGGTAGGTCAACGGTCTCATCTAAGTAATATAGAGAAGTTTTACTATTTATTAGGATGTTTGCAGGCTGGCCCTACTGATGTAGTGAAGGGTATTACTGTTTCGGAGACCACCTATGATCTTGCTTGGTCTGCCTTAGTCCAGAGGTATGATAAACCTCGYCAGTTGGCTACTAACTTGGTAAACGAAATCTTAAATGCTTCGAACAGTCATCAAGAATCTCCGGCGGTATTGATAAAGTTTTTAAATTTATTTTGTKAAAATATAGCGCTCCTTAGATCGTTGAACATCGCCGATTTAGGTTCCTTTTTATTATTTGCAGTCTCAGTTCGTTGTCTGCCACCAACTACGCGTCGTTTATTTGAACAAGGTAATTCCGYTGACTTTCCTACGGTCGACAGTTTATTGTGTTTTGTCAAGGATCGGGTAGAAATACTAGAAAATTCTGGATCARCTCCGACCCATTTTTCAGCTAAACCCCCGACCAAGGCGATAATAAGTCTACCTAAGTCAACAAACCCTAAATCGCAAATTGCAAAGGCCTTCCGAGGGCATCAGAGTTCTCCTGTGGCGTTAGTTACCAACAAACAAGATGAGGATCCACGCCGTTGTTGGCAATGTAATAGCTCTCATTCGTTAGCGTCCTGTTCTGAATTTAAGGGTATGACCATCGATGATCGCTACGTTCTAGTGAGTAAGCATCGATTGTGTATGATTTGTTTTGACAATAGTCACTGGGCAAACAAGTGCAAATCGTCGTGTTCCATTTGTCA